AATAATAACATATTTACATATAAATTACAATAATTGTAAACAAAAAGGATTATTAAATAACAATCATAAAGATAGTGAAATAAAGGTATTATACAATAACAAAAGCAGATAGTATCGATGCAGAATATAACATTCCTGATGTATAATACTAGTGGAGAAGTAGTGAAAAGTAGTGTTCGTATTGACGTTAGACATTATAGGTCTTAACGGCTCGTTAGACAAGTAGTTAGTAGTATACAGAGAGACATAGAAAGTAGTTATGTGACGAGAGGTGCGTTGTGGAACTCTAAAATGTTTAAATAAGAGCAAGGTGGGGAATTTACTAGCTAACCTTTTACATTTACAATATAATTATTACATATGGCGTTATTATACATATGTTATTACATATGATATTATATACATAATATAAATATAATGTATTATTACATATAATGCATAGTAAATGTAATGTATTATTGTTCGGTTTCATCGACATAGCTATTAATTTTATCAATCTGATATGGCTTTATGGGAAAACAATTGTTAAAATAACTAATAATAATAGAATAATATAATTAGTGAGTAAGAAATGTTATACTGATATTTTATATTTTGTTCTGTATTATATTAAAGTTATAATAAATCATTAGCTAGATATTGTACAGAGTTATAAGTATAACAATAATTGCTTATTTCTGTTCGAGGTACAAATTGCACAGGCAAGACCAAATTGCCCAAGAAATGTTTACATTGACCGGTATTCCATTTGCTTATAATACGGTACCGTTTAGCTGTAAATTGTATACATTGACTTTAGCAATTAGTTTCAACAACATTATAGAGAATAATTATTAGAGAAATAACTGTTATGGGTTCTAATTATATGAAGAAGAAAAAAAGAGAATCCTGGAAATCATTCTCGCAGTTAATATTCTAAATAAAATATAATATTAAATGGCCATAAGAAAACTTTATTTTCGACGAATTTTATTTTTTATCAACCCATAAAACATTGACATTAATCATATCAGGACATTTTATACACGATTAATGATTTTTTCTACGTAGAAAAGCTTAAAATATGTACATTTCACAAAACAAACTTGAACTATGGGATTTTTTTTTTTTAATTCTCATTAAAATAAAAATAAAAATTAAACAAATTTTAATTTTTTGTATAAATATATCAAAAATATATAATCCTACACTCTAATAATAAATTTATGTTCACTCATTATTTCAGTTGTGCTGGAATAAATATTAAATAGTACCGAGTATTTGGCAAATAGTGATAAAGAAATTTATTAATATTTAATAAAAAACTTACACTGACCATTGAACAATTGAATGTACCGAACTAAACGTAATATGCATTTTAATTAATTTTCCATCGATACATATTATATCTAAATAATAATAAAATATTAGGTAATTATTACAATATTGATCATTGTTGTTTAGTATTTCGTATCCTGTATAAATAGTGTTCAACACAATTGTATATATGCATACATATATGAATGGTACTTAAAATGGGGAGAGTTGATGGATCTTGAGTATAGGCACCCGGCTATTTTAAGGTCCCATGGGCCCGTTGAAATTAATCTGTAATTTTTTAAATTTTAATAGAAATACTTATTTTATATTAAATGATATTATAAAATAATATTTAAGAAATATATATATATACATATAATATTTTAATATCTAACATCTTAGCCCCTAAGCTAGACCTTATTAGTATTATACAACCCGTTGTATACATCGAAATCCGAATCGTCAAATCGGTCAATTTATTTGATTCATTTTATTATAGTATTATAATTTCATTGTATTCCTTGTAAATATAATAATTGGATAATGTATAAGCATAAGTAAGATACTATGAAATGCAGAGAAAAAAATATAAAAAGATACTAAAAGAGAATTTATTTTTCAAATCAACTTCTGAGACTGACGTGCTTATTAATAATACGATTCGTCTATGCCATATTCAGACCATGTGACATTTTTCGACACGGATGAAACTAATATTGCCTCTACAAGTAATGCTAAATTATAATGTATGTGAAAGTGAACCAAAAACATTAATTGCACCGTCATTGGTGACATCTATGAATTTAAAGAATCCTGGGATGTGGCCAACTTCAATTTCAAGGTCAGTTCATGATATGATTTTTGTGCACCAACATTTCCAAAATTAGTTTATTTTATAAAATATAAGTCAGAAGACATTAATGGTAAGACCTTTAGTAAATGTATGTTTTATACAATTATTAAATAATCCCGAATCGTTTCTTCGAGATTGGTTGATTTGGAATAAGCTTAAATAGTCTTTACACTGTTTACCTTGTATTTTATGAAACGTGAATTTAACTGAAACTTCAAATACTATTAGTATTTCAGCTAAGAGTCAAGGTTTATTGTTCTCGAAAAACGTCACGAAAAAACTGTATTCAAATCTACCTACTCATATGAAAACTAAATTCACAGGGATTTATTTTTGGAATGGAAAACTTTAAAACAATCACAGCTAAGTCGCGGTGTTTATTATACTCTTCGAAAACAAATCAAGTACAAGATTGACAAATGGAAAACAATTTTACGCAGGTTACTCAATGTTATTTAATTTTTTAGGATCAAGAGGTTTGTCATTTCAAAGAGATAACTATACAATTGGTGATATACACAATGGTATTTTCTTGGGTGTTTAAGATTTTCTTAGGAAATATGATGAAACAACTCGTGAATATTTATCCATGGTAAAGCAAGTACAAATAGAAAATAAATGAAAATAAATATAAATAATAAAATATAACCATAAATATAAATAATATAAATAAGCACAAATATCGTTGAAAGGTAGTGCTCATTATTTACCATGGAAAAGTCAAAATGAGTTTTTTTTTCTTTGAGTGGGAATAAAATTATGAAAACTATTTTAGAACAACATGAAAAAAACAATTTATTATTCAATTATTATAGACGCTTATCCAGATGTTTCTCACCGATAGCAAAATGTTTTGATTTTAGAATATATTCCACATAATGAAAAATCTGAAGTCTTCGACACTTATGAACGATTTATTAATTTCATAAATTTCAATGAAAAAGATATTATCGGAAAAGATATTTTCAATAAATTAATTTCTAGACTTGAAAGTTATAAAATTCCACTTTTGGATTGTAGGTGACATAGCTACGATAAAAGTGCCAATAAGTCTGAAAATTTGAAAATATGTGTCATGAAATTTTACATCTGAAAACTATATATTTTTCAACGTTTCATAAATGTATTGTAATGCCACAACTCGAACTATTAAATTCCTTTTACGTGTAAAATGAGCAAATAATTTTCGTAAACGTGTGTATTAGTCTTCAAATATTTTGTACTATACCAGTGACTGTAATAGAAGCAGAAAGGTCTTTCAGTAACTTAGAAAACTCACTGAAGACGTGACAAAGATTCTCAACTCGTCAAAAACGATTAAACTCACTTCTTCTTTTATCTATGGAGAAATCATTGGCTTCAAAAATACATTTTGATGATATAATAATTGAGTTCGCTAAATTCAAAGCACGTAAAATAAAATTATAACTTAAAAACTATATATTTATTATAAATTAAAAATACTTGTTTTTATTTTTTCATTTAGATAATATTGAAATAAAATAAAATAAAAAAAGACATTTTAATTATTAAAATGCTTATGAATCTTGATTTTCTTTGTAATTGACTGTAAATTGTGTTTTTGGAAATGTTGTAACAGAAAAACAGACAAACATTTAGTACAGGGGCCAAGCATGTATGTATTTACAATTATTATAAAAATTATAATAATCGTAAATACATAGTCAGTGGTGGCGTGATACAGAATTTTAGGGTCAAGTGTCCCATCAAAAATGGGGATGGGTGGTCTGGTGGGGTTACCCATGGGTGGAGAAGTGGTTAATTTAAATGTATGCATAAAATATTGTAATATTGTAATGTACAAAGTGTACCTAGTTGCGTAATCATAATTTAATCCTTGAAGAGTTATTGATACTTAAATAATAAACCAAATTGAAAATAAAATCAATGGATTTGGATACAAATTTTAAATTGGATTTATATCTTTAAATAACTTATGAATTTAAGACATATGGGATACACCAAGTTCTGATTTCTAATGCTTTATTGCAAAAAGCGTTTACAGAAATAAAACAAATTATTATCACATTAATATTAAATTATTAATATATATTATGTTTCTGATATGATTCACATGTCTTAGAAAATGAAAATTGTCAAGTATGTAAGAATGTAGGTATACTGATTAGTATTAGTATTTAGAAAAAAGTGAAATGGCAATTGACAATGAATCCATATTCCATCGTGCAAACCAATAAAGGTTTAAAGTACGGAAAGTGAGAAATATTATAGTAAGAAAAACATTTGATAATAAATATAATATTTTTATGGAATAGTTTGGTCCTCGGTTTTATACCTATCTTCATGTACATCTGAATATTTATAAAATGAATATAATTGTATCTAAGCAGGTATTCCGAATTCATTGATAATGGTATAAAAATATAATAATATGACGAGTGACGACTGATTTCCCTCATAGACTGTACTACTATGGCTAGGTAGGGCGGTGCGCGCGGATCAACAAAATGTTATCGAAAACAAAACGAAATTACCAATTCTATTTTAAGAAAAGTATTATTTTCAATTTATTTAATTGATAATTATTGAAAAAGTCGACACTTCCACATCCACGAACGATTTCAACAGTTCAGCACTATGGTCTACGCTTCTGTCCTGCGCGTTTTTATTGTTGGCCGTTCTTGTGTTATTTCTTTTTGACTTGTATACGTTTACTTATATATTTTGTAATATATAATATTATAAATAATAATAATAATAATTTATAATATATTAAATTATAATATTTTTTTAAATTTAAATATTTTCATTTGTAATATTATAAAATATTTATAAGTTTATTTTAATATTTTAAACACAATTGTAAAATCAATTTTATAAATTTACGAACGGTAAGTAAATATTACTTATACAGTGATACATAGTTAACCTTAAAACTAATTAAATATATAAATTATTAACTTTGATGGATTTAGCTTGATCCCGTTTCTGATCATGAAGAGTTGCGAAATTCGTGGGCGACAAAAAGGTGACATGAATCCAACAAATTGAACTAGACACGTCAATAGTTGCAAGTCTAAAATTCAAACACCAAAAAGAAATTTAACAAATACTTCAATTAAACATTTTTTTTTTGTGAAGAAGCAAAAATTAGAATTTATTGGTAAGTACCTATATGTTTTATTTTATATTAGGTACATAAAACCGTAAAGACAATTAATTTTGATGTAGTCATTGATGACTTTATCTTCAATAAAAGCAAGGAAATAATTACACATTTTATTATTGAAAAAGCTATTCGGCTTCCTTTTCGAAGGGGAGATCAAGTTATTTTATCTAGACTATCCATAAGTTCGTTTATTTGCTTGATATTGCAGTGTATTATTTTATGAATTTTAAAAATTTATTTGAGAAAAATTCCCAAAAAACATGATATTTTCAATATCTTTTAAGTTTCATATTTAGTCCTAAAGTTTATATATCTTTATGAAAAGTATTGTAGATATTTAGTGAAAATTTTAAGTTTCTGACCGAATTATTTTTGAAGCTATGACTAATTTTAACTTATAATAATTAGGTATTGATAGCTATAGCATGGATATTGATACATGTACTGTAGCAGATCAAGTACTAGATAGTAAAAATATAACGCCCTCTACAGCCTATGTTGAAGTAAACGATGATCTGGTTGAACAGATTTCATTAAAAGGTAAAAATACATAGTAAATAATTAATTAATAATAATTAAAAATAATTAAAATAAATTATAAATAATAATTAATTAACTCTTATAGCTTAAGAGTATTTCTATTCATAATGGATCACATTTCTAACAAGCGTAATACGAGTACATATTAGTATTCTGTATGAATTATTAAAACTTGAATAGTATTTGAAAAAAAATTTGATTAGATTATTAGAATATAAAATACTGATATAAATAGTACTTTTACGTCAAATTCGTTAAAATAGTATTTAAAATATTGTTTAAATACTTTTTTTGTAATATCTTTAAATATTACTAGGATAATTGTTAGAAATTATTTGTAATACATTTTAAATAGGTATTGTTTTTATAATCAAATAGTAATTAATATAAATTTATTTTTCATAGAAGTACCAACTTTTAGAAATGTTGTTTATCAGTAAACTACCTATTTTAGTAGCTTTTGACTAATTGAGATTATTCATAAAATAGTAATTAAAATAATTATCACATATTGTAATAGTAAGACATATGCTCTAAAATCTGAAAACTTGTGTAACTCTATGGCACTTGTTAAATAACAAATAAAAAACAATAATAATTAATTTGATTATATAGATTCAGACTTATATCCTAATGATCCAGGATCATTTTCGGAAGTTATAACGAATGAAATGCTCACTTATTTCTTGCAGTATGAACCATGTCAGCCCCTTCCATGGGAACTTTCCATTAAATATCTTGCAACCTCAAGAGATAATCATGGTGTTAATTGGACGTTCCATGAATCATATTATTACAATGCATTACCAAACGGATCTTTAGTAAAACGTACCTGATTATCATACTCTGTATCTATGAACAACGTATACTGTATATCTTGTAAGTTGTTTGGACTATTCAAGGCGAAAAAGGTATTATTGGCTCAAAAAAGAATAAATGATTGGAAAAATTTAAAAAGAAATTTAGACGACCATGCTCATAATACCGAACACTTACAAGCTGAGATTAGCCGTGGGCTATTTTCCAAAAATGATAGAATTGATTTAAAACTACTTCATTCTAATCATCAAAAAATATCAGAAAACCGAGAAGTTCTTCTGGCTATTATAAATGTTTTGTTGTTTTAAGCTAGACAAAATATTGCAAAATCTAGGTAATATTATTGTCAAAAAATGTAGTCTCAATTCTAAAATAGTATTACAGTTATTGACTATTTGGCATTGTAACTGATACAAAAATATATTTTCAGATAATTTCATAGAGATGTTGAAACTTATCGGAGAATATCATGGGCCTCTAATAAATTATTTAAATAAAGTCTGGTCCTCAACAAGAAATCGACTTACATTTTTATCTCATAAATCTCAGAATTCCCTTTTGAAAATTATGGAAAATCAAGATCAATCATCTATAGTTAAAGAATTGAAGGACAGTGGATTATTTGCCATTATAATTGATACCACTACTGATATTGCTAACATACAGCAATTTACTTTTGTAGTGAGATATATTTATGAAGGTATCAAAAAATATGATCCAAATTTTCAAATCAACTGAAATCAATATAAATCTTTTATTTTTAAGGTAAATCATATGAAGGATTATTGTGCTTAGAAGCAGCTACCGACGCGACTATAAAAGGAATGTTTGATACTTTTCGTTGTATTACTGATAACTACCAAATTAATTAGAAAAATGATCATTGTGCGCAATCATATGATGGAGCTGTTTATATACAAGGGGAGTATTCTGGTTTGAGAACATTTATCCTAAATTAAAATCCACGAGCAGTATATGTCTGGTGCTTTGCTCATATAATGAATTTAATAATTGTTGACATATTAGACTATACTACAAATATAAGAAATTTTTTTTGGAGAATTTCAAGGCTTAGTAAGTTACATTAGGGCTAGAAAATGTACAGCAACATTTTATGAATGCCAAAATAATTTAAAAGTGGGACCAAAATCTAAAGACCGAATTCGGAAAATAAAAAAAAAAAATGTTGATATTAGATGGACGTCACATGACTGCGTTATTTCTGTGATACATGATAAATTTGACAGATGAATTGATTCTTTAAATATACTGTCTAGCTTAACACATAGAATAACATCTTCAAATTCACATATATTCTTACAAACAATTTCATCATTTAATTTTATATTAATTTTAAAGTTGGTGGCAGAATATTTTCAGTTACAACTCTTACATCTTGTTACTTGCAATCTAAAAACATTTATTTTATTTATTTATTTATTTAAATTTTATACGGGCCAAGCCCAATTACATAAATATTAATAATAATAACAATTGTTCATTAATAGTCTTAAATAAAAAGCGAATAAAAAAGAGAAGAAACAAAAAAAAAACAATGATGTACAATATAAATTATAATATAATATACTTATAGCTATGAATTAAAAAGTAATAAATTACAATATAATATGAATGAGTTGAAGGTTGATGATATGAAAATATCGATTTTTAATTTGTTAATAGTTTTTATAATTCTAAGATGGGGAGTATTACTTGCGTAATTAGTTACTTCTGTGTTAAGATAAAAAATGTTTTAAATCAGCGTTTTTTAAATATACTTTATCGGTTCGAAACATTAATTTAGTTTCGAGTGAAACATTTATATATATACCGTATATTACATATATTTATATGCAGCGTTTAACGAGGCACTTAATAATATTACTCGAGTGCGAGTCTTCATTTTAAATTAGTGTTTTAATCACGTGCAATAAATTGTGCAATCATTTTTTATGATGAACAGCAAATGGAAATTGAAAACGAAAAAAAGGTGCAAGAACAAATCACATCAAACCGATCGATCTACCTACACGAACAGAGAAACATATTTGAAAAATCGTTCCGTGCGTTTAGGTAGTGTGCACGAAATAATATTTCATAAAGTGATACGTCATTAAAAATGTGCAAATATAACAACGCAATACGCATTATTACCACCATCAGTAATCGCAAATATCCCTTGTGGCACACGTGCTCATTAATATTATATTGTCAAACGACTCTCCGGTTTTATTTTTATTATTTGTAGTAATCCCCGATGAAAGTTGAACCCTAATCAAATGCTTTTTTATCCACGTATGTTTTCCTGCCAAAAATTTTTATACATTCGTATCGGTACAACTATACATAATATCTTATGCTGCTATTCATCGTTAGTTACCCACTCGTGTCCACGTTTCGAGTGGAATGACAATATCGTTAAAAAAAAAAAAAAACGAAATAATGGCCAAAGCCCGTGTATGTCCGGGCCACCGCAAACGATTTTCGAACCTTTTTTTTATTTTTTGTTCTCGACAATATATTATTTAATATTTAAATATAAATACACGAACAATGGTCGTGCATTCATTTTTCCGACGCGGCAATGGTGGCGGCGGCGCAACCACTCGACTTTCAGTGCTGCGTTATTATTACTATAACTATGTGTATACTATTATACACGTACTATACACCCTTTTATTTTTTTATTCTTTTTAACAATTGCGAGCGTTGCTCAAGAGAAGTTACTCTAAAACATAATCTCTATAAGGGTATGATAACAATAAAAAATAAAAAAAATAAAAGAACGTGAACGAACTTCCGTTTTATTACTTTGGACCTAGTCGAATGACGTTTTACGACACACTCGAAAGCATGGAGGCAATAGAAAGCGTCACTCGAGTGTGATGTACATGGACACATAACTTCAAATTATTACATCGTCACTGTATGTTTTCATTCCGTAAGACTAGTTTGGAGCGGAGATGAGACGACAGTGCAAACGCTTGTCGTCACGATATCATCAACGGTTGCGCAATATATGCGCGTGCACATGATTGTAACACCGAATGGTGTGTTCGACACGGTTACACATTGTAAGGATAATTCGTATTAAATTAATAGAACGTCATGAATACCTATTACGGTATCACTGATATTTATTAATACGTTTAATTTAACATAAACATTGACAAAATAAACTGATAGTAACGAATATAAGCTGAACGTATATACTGGATGCCTGGATACGTCTAAAGTAAAATATATTAAACTCTACCGTATTTTAATTACTGTACAGAAAAAAAAAAATATATTCCAAACTTCATCCTTTTGTCATAAATTTATTTGTAACTTTTTCGTACAACCAGTGTTGGGATTTATCTAGATAAATAACGCTAAGTTATCTAATTACTTATCTAAGATAAATTTTTTACTTATCTAGATAATTGTCTGTATTCTTGCCAAGATAAGAGTTATTTTTATTCTTCTACGGAGACGAATCCAACAAATAAGAGATCTTCAAAATCGGTACAGCCGTTCTTGAATTATAAATTCTATAAATAACCTGACTTTCTTTTATACAAATAGATTTTCTATTCATAATCATAATTCGTGTATTATTATTTCTTGGTATGACATTTTGTTTGTTTTTTTATGTCGGGAAAATAGTTTTGGTATTTTTAAACTTAATTTCTTATTTTTCCATGGAAGTTCCAAATATAGTAGGTATTTGATTTTAGTATACACATGTAACTCATACGCTGAAAAGTCTTGGAACCCATCAAGTTGTAATTACTTATAAAATAATGAAAATAATCAAATTAATATTACATGGAAAACAATATTGTTAACTTAAAATAATTTCTTATGTATTCTGTATTCATCCTGATACGCACAGAGTAATTTTCATTTTTTTTTTTTTTTTTTTTTTTGTGTAACATTTTAATGATTAACTACCATTAAATATTGTACATTTATACATTATATATAAATACTGCTTAATGGTACACTACATTACTACAATAAACATTAAACACCTAAGGTACCTATTGATAATAATGAATATAATTGAGTCTTTATAGATATTATTAGAATATGAAATATTGACCAAAAAATTTTTTGAAAGTATCTTTTTTTTATCTAAATAAAAATGAAATTATCTTTTATCTTTATCTAAATATTTTAATTTTTTTTATCTATTATCTTTATCTAGATAAATTTGGGTATATTATCTTTCATCTTTTTACATTAGCTATTCCCAACACTGCGTTCAACGTAGCTGAATCATTTCAAAGTTTCAATAATAATTCCTTTTCTATTCACATAAGACTTAGGTTATTCATTATTTCTTGAGTTAGTTTTGAGCGGTAACAAGTGTGTATTCTTTTTAAGACCAAAAAATAACTTCAACGGACGACGTAGTAGCTGGTAAAGTTGATATTAATCGACAGAGTTTATAAATCTCGGAAAAGTCGGGTTTTCAATTAAATTCATTTAGGTAAAACAATGCTATGATTGGAGTTTTATTTGAAACTTCTTTTAATTTATACCGAACATGTAACTAATTTTGTTACTTACTGAAGTTAAATATACAACATGTATACATCTCCAACAGTTTTTCTTTTATTTTCTTTTTTTTTAAATGGAACGAAGAAATTTTTCTTTGTTAGTTAATTCTTTAAACTTGAGTGAATTGAATTGAAATTAAAATATTCTAATTTTTTGAATGAATATTAACGAATTGATTTCATAAATTATCTAAAATTTCCGTATAAATTATTTTATAATACATTTTATCAACATTTTCATTTGTTTATTCATCGATTTTATTTTGGATCACAACCAACGCTTTTTACTGAAGAGGTCCAGACATTTTAAAAACTTGCATTTCGTGGCTAAAGTTTATTTTGAAATTCGATTATTTTAAAACTATAATACAGAATATCAACTATTATTGTTTGTAAAGTATTGAATAATATATAAGTAAATAAAAGCAACGGAGCTAAAACGTCAATAAAAAATATATGTTTGAATTTTTCAAGACAATGTTTAAAACCCTAATGCAGTTATTTCAGCTTCGTGTTCGTTGTAACCACTCTCTGAAATATATTCAAAGAAATCTATCAATGACTCACGATAATCATTTACTGTATGAATAAATATTGAAGTAAAATTCCATTTGGTAGAAGCTAATGTAGGTATATTTTTTTCATAGATTCGGATAGTTTTATTCTGTTAGAAGAAAGTGAAAAAACAAAATCGGTAATGATTTTAATCCACGAACAAATATTATCCACTTCCATGTTACATTCTAAAGATTGTTGTAGAACTAAGTTTACACGACATGTGCTTAACAACGCGCAAAAAGATCTTTCGGATATTTCTCGAGTATTTTAGTTTGTAGGCCATTTAAACGATCATTCATAACTGTAGCACCATCGTCCGCTTGTACCATTAATTTAGAACCGCATTTAAACATTTTAACTGCATTATGAACATGCTCGGGCAGTTTTGTTGAGCGTTTAACGCGCGACCTGCACACATCGAATGAACGCCACTGGTCGGGACTCGTTTATACGTGTGGTAAAGCCCGGATGGTACCGGACGCTCTGACTGACACGATTAGTCGGCAAGTTGATTGTGGTCGTATCGGTCCAAGAGCGGTTCTGTTGAACTTCCATTGCTCGTAAACAATTCTCGGACGCTAATATACGGCATGCTTTCGCATGTACTAATAAATCCGTACAACGTTTCTAGTGGAACCGATAGTGAGGCTCGGGTTAATATTTATTACAAGGGGCTCATAAATTGACCGAATATTTTCTTTGACCCGTTTCGGGTCTCGCTTCACTAAAAAGGTAGAGAAACACTGTTGTCGAGTACACATACACCGAAGGCCGGATTTTGCGTAAATGCCGTTATAGGTCCCGATACGATTTGCCGCTCCATCATTCCTTGGCGCTATCTTTCCTCACCGTGCGAAAAAAATAGCAAATTTTAATTTTCGGAAATTTACTCTGATGCATTGAAAAAAAAATAAAAAGAACATGGTTGTCCGACTCGACTGCAACATCAAACACGTCACGAGTGCACAAGGTACGTTTCTTTTGGACGTACAAAATATTATTTTATCAAAAACTATTGCATTTTCTTAAGATATCAATAAAAAATATAAAATTAAATTACTATTATAATAAAATTTATTTTTGTAAATTATGATTTTTTTAAAAGGAAACTGGACATACATTATTTTTATATAATTCAATATTATTAAAAATAATTTCAAATTAATTATTTACATATATTTAATAATAGTTTGAAATTA